TCTCCTCCACAAGTTATACTGACATCAAATATAGTGAAAGCAGGGGTTATACTGTGGGGGAAGGACATACAAAGCAACAAAGAGATAATCTTATAAATGCATTAGAAACACATGCATGAAAGAAAAAAACATTAAAATACACGTCTAAGGGTTCATTTTCCTAACATTACATTATCTGACCTTTTCCGCTTGACTCATACATATACTAGATATTGCAAATAAGGGAAACCATGGGACCTATGTTTCTTTGGGCCTGGCTTACTTCACTTAATATAATTTTTTCCAAGTTTTCATATAGGACATTTTTACCTTATTCAGATACTAAAAGATCTAAAATATAGTCATGCAAGGATGCTTTTCATGTCCACGTGTATGTTTATCAAATAATTAGTATTCTGGCATACACAGCCATTAGCAATTGCTTTCCATACATAAAAGTATAGTCTTAAGCTTCAGGCTGGTAAATTGGTTGCAAGTGCTTTCCATAAATTAGGTCTTTGGGGAAGCCTAATAACTTCTTTGCAATTGTTCTTCTTATCTTCAAAATTGGGCTGGAAATAGATCTCATGTGGAAAGTTATACATTTTAATTTTTATTGGTTTTTGAAAATGCCTTCATCATTTCAAGTGAATCGACCACTTTTCAATTGTCTTTATGCATCAACATAGTATGATGACTTATAGACTTGAATCAATTGGAGAGCCAGCAAGCATACAATCCTGTATTAGCCAATATTACTTAGACTTGAACTGAAAATGGTAATGATGATGCAAACTATTATGATTTTTTCTGTTTTATACTGTTTTCTATTATGAATAAGACTTAGCAATATGTCTGAAAAAATTTTCTTCTTCTTATTGATGTCTAATCTTGCATTTTGCTATTTTGATTCCTCCAGTTGCTATGATATGTTACCAGCCCATGACCCTGTTTGGTAAAGTTGATTCCTTGTGGAATTGCACAGATATGTGATTCTCTTTGTATTACCTCTTTCCACTTTATGAATGAAGGAGGAAAATATCCTTTTAAACAAGATATTCTTAAAAGGCTTCACATGATATTAAAATGATTGAACATGTGTTACTACATAAAATGACAAATTACTCACATCAAACTGGATACAAATATTGCTGTCCTAACCACTGTGGGATTAACAATAACCTCTCTTATTCTGGAGTGACTTCTTGTTTCATTCAATTCTTTCTTCCTTTTGGATCTTACCACCTTCAAGAAGAAACGAAAGCAAAACACAAAACTATTTAGTTTCAGTAAAAGGGGGATCTTTATTTTCAAATCGTTCTTACAACTTCCTATAGCTTTTGTCTTTTCACCTTCGAACAAAGCCAAATTGATTATTGGGTAAATCTCATTGGTTCCAAGCCTAATCAAAAGAACCAAAAAAAAAAGAAAGAAATTAAAAAAACGGAAAAAATACTTTTAAAACTGTTTAAAATATGCTTGTATTATAAATTGCCATTTTAAAAATCAGTACTGGAGTTTGAGTTCAGGCCCTTGCTACCTCTCTACGTGCTGGCTCATTTGTTAGGCTACCACTTAAGCCATCTCTCCAGTCTGGATTTTTGCTTGTTCATGGAGTCTCACAAACCTTTCTATCAAGACTGGTTTTGAAACCTAAACTATGAACTCATCCTCATGAGATGCTAGGATTATACGCAGAGGCTACCAATGCTCAGAGCAAACTAATTCCAAGTGATCAAAAGCATCTTAGGAATTACAATAATTCTTATAGTCGTAAAATTATTTGTTGCTTATTGGAAATTAGTGGTGTACTTTTCTTGGCTCTGTCCCCTAAATGTCAATAACATGAACACAACAACTTGCTCTCCTAAGAATTTCTCTTTGCATTAATAATCTGTATTTCCATGGTGGTAAATCTTTGCCTTATTCTTGATGAACTACGAGAAGTATTTCTATTATACTGTTGAAGATTTCTATATGTTTAGGATCTCTCTTCATTTTGTATACACAATCTGTCTTCTATATTCACAAACTAAGCATAAATATATTATATACCATACTATCTTTATATATTAGGTATTTACAAATATTTTTAGCTAACCAGTTTTATAGACCCTTTATCAGTTTACAATACAGTAGTGTAACTGCATGCTCATATGTGGTTTTATTTCTACCACATTTCCAGTTGCAGACATCATGCACTCAAATATCTAATACATTTCATTTGGTCATTTCTTCTTAGGTCTGTCATGTATTCTCTTGGACCAATTCATGCTCCTTGAACTTCACTTTTCCTCTAAATGTGTATAATGATTGTGATTGTCCAGTCACACAAA